TTTAAACGTAAATAACGACATATATGTTCAATAGCTGCATTTTTTGCTGTTAAAAAATTAATTTTATTTGAATATATCATCGATTTCATAGCAATGTCAAATGATATTGTTTGATGATATGTACCAGTATAAATAAAATATAAAATTTCACTAAATGTTTCATAATCAATATCAGTTAATTCAATTGGTTTGATTTGAGATTTTTCAATAAAATCATTTAATAATAATGAACGAAAATATGTACTACGACAACATAAAATATTTCGATGAGCAGTTATGATTTTATCATTAAAAATAAATTGTACGTCGGTATTTATACTATTGATAGCTTGTTTATATAATTTCATCATTGATTGAGATAAAGATTTATAATTTAAATTTACATCAAATACATTTGAACCAACAAGTTCTATGAAAAAAACGATAAAATGTTTTAACAAACTTAATTTTTTGTTTTTACTAATTGCTTGAATGCCTATTCGATCTGTGTATCTTGGATCGAAAGTTATACGAATAGTATTCGATTGAATATGATACCGCCGTAACATTGGTTTGAAGATATTATGAGTTATTGATTGTTTTTCTGAAGAGATTTTTCTTTGCCACATAGTCCACCATTTATCTTGATACACAAACAACAAAATTATCGATTCTGAAGAGAGATTATCTTTGAACTGGAAACAGTTAAGGGTGTCGATAGTGAGAACGAGGTTCAAAGTTGATTTCTTGTACGGGTATGACTTCGCACAACCGAGTCTGAATAGCTATATCTGATATCCAGTTGGAACTAAGCGACATCCGACAGATAAATTGATAGTCAAAGTACGATTTTCAGGATTTTATTTTTCATGAAAACGTATCATATTTAGTTTCTTTCATAAATAGCAAAAAAAAGACAAGAAATCATCTCAAATCTATTAAAAAAGCAAGTGACTCAGAATTCACTTGATCTCTTTCTCCTTCCAAAATTTCATTAATTTCGGTAAGTATACATTTGACTGTTGCTGATGAGACTGTCATGAAATGCAGTATGTTAGTGACAAACGTGATAATTATGAACACATACATGAGTGATTTTTTTTCCATTATCATCTGTAGATGAATTTTCATTAGAAACGAATCCTTTTAGTAAAATAATATTGCTTCCACTTCTGTGATCTGTTCTCAAGTAAAATAAATTGCTCAATCATGATCGAGCTGGCTTTCACGCCTTTGTTTTTCTATAAATTATCAATTTGAAAAAGTAAAAATATTTTGAAATGTCGGCATCTCTTTATTTTCAGATTAGGATCGCCACAAAACCATGCCTGGTACCAGAACTATCTTCAGAACACTAATTGAACTCTTTTTTTGCTCAGTCTCCTCCCGAGTTTTTAGTCAATTTTATCAACGATTTCAAACCTCCAATAGTATATTAATAAACCGTTCATAGAGAGCCATAGACTTTTGAAAACACGTGTTTCAAAAGCACATTTAAAATAAAACAGTGTTAGATGTTAGGCTCAAGCCTTTTGCAACTCTGTATCTGTTTATGGGCAATTGCAGCTTGATAACGGTGCGCCTGCTAGTCATTCCAGTTTCTCCCCAAGACGAAAATCTTTTTCAGAAAAAAAATAATCAACCGTTTTGTACACCAAAGCATTCTCTACCGAGTGAGTCTAAAGCAGGCTTTTGTATTTCTTAGCAAGCACTAAAAATACATAAGAGAACATTTTTACCGATTTCTTATCGATCACGTATTAGTTTTGTTATAACCAAATTCAAGTTATGTATCGTTGTACAACGAAAAATGCAAGTCGAATATAGTATTTAAAAGTTAGACATAGATTATATTAGAGATATTTATTAATTTTTTTGGTAAAACTAGCATAGTAGTACAACGAATAACTGATGAAAGATCTTAAAAAACTATCAAAGAAAAAGATCGACTAAGTCCATAATGTTTGCGAGAATGAAATATTATGGAATATTTGGAACTTTTACAATAGTTTGTTTCATTCTACGAATCATAGCGCATCGAATGACGATTGAATATTTTCCAATCAAGCTATGTAACTTATAACTTGTCCAATAACTTCACGAAGAATACTAACACTTAAAAGAATTCAGTTTTTTTATTGACACAAAGTCACTTTTCATTTAAATGATTCATAGAGTAGCGATGAAAAATCCTATTGAAGTATTTTAATGATTCTCTTGTAAGCCTAAAATTAAACCACTATGTGATATTCTTATGTCTCAATATTTTGAGAGATACAGAAATTAAAATAACATTGATTATTTTGATTATATCTTACTATCAACAAATGATAAAACCTAAAATCATTTTTTTAAACATGTATCATGCTATTCTCCTGTACTTTTGCATGGAAGAGTTGTTGAAGTTATGCTGATGAATTTTTAAATTAACAGGATTGGTACCCATTGAATTGTTTCTATGTGGCATCATACCAATAAGCATATTGATTATTAAAATATAGGTCTTTTTTTGTCAATTAGTTCATGCAGTTGAACAACACAATAAGGTTAATATTTTTCATGAATAATTATGATTTTTATATCATTTCGCTAAGGATTATTTTTTATGTTATTTTCATTTGTATTTCTCTCAAAACAATGAGACATTTGGCCATTACCGTACTTCAACTTTGGCTTCATAAGAAAACCATTATAATACTTGAATTAAATTTTTCACTTCTAATTTTGTAAAGAATTTGATGGCACAACTTTCGACAGAAGATTCAACGATATTGGTTTTGGCTATATTGAAATATTTGCAAACCAGCCTATTTCGCAATCATTTTGACTCATCCAATATTTAAGAAATATCCAACTTGTTTTTCGCGCCCAAATTTTGTGAAAGCCTTTATTGAACCAGTTTTTTTCGTGATTTGTTTCATTTCGTCGCATATTTATTTGTCCATCATTATTAATCGAACATTCGAACACAAAATGTAATCACTGTTCTCATGCGAGATGATATAGATACTTTTACAATCTATCTCATAGAAGTATACAGAGTTACCCTTACCTGTAGCATGAGATAAGATGACAAGCTAAGGGTAGATATTTTACAGGGTAATGTAAGAGTCAGAAAATTTTTCTCACAAAATACTCAAGATACCCAGCTCCGTTTCAATTCACTCGTATCTTAGTCGACGGAGTATGTTCAAGTAAGAAAAAACTTTAAAGGATTCGAACTCATGCCCTACTATCGAAGAGTCACACTTTGCCAAGAGAACCAGAATGAAGAGTTGTGATTTGAAGGTTTCAGGGGCAACGAACATGTTTCTCTTGAAATATTAAATGCCAAAAAAAACCAACGATTTACCATAGAAAGATAAAATAATTCAATATATGTGGCGTTTGAATACCTCGACAGAGACACATTCGTTTTCGTTGAATCTCTCCGTTCAAAACTCCAGTTATAGGCTGACGGAGCTAAACATCTTCAATATTTCTCTCATCAGTTAGTATACAGAGTATGAAAAATGCTTAGTCTGCATATATTTACAATATCAATGATTTAGTCTAATATTAATCATTGATATATATATATGTGTGTATGTTTTAAACGATTATTCTAATTTTCTTACTTCGTTCAATTTCCAGCATTTCTAATTTTTCAATACTTCCTGGATTAAGATTTTCATAAATATGTATTTCATTAATAAATACTGATGTTTGAAATGAAACAATCAAACATTCTTCTTGATTATTATTATTTAAAATCCATCCATTTTCCGTTTGTTCTTTTTCACCAAAATCAACATCAGTTGCTTGACATAATTTTTCAACACCAATACCTCTTGTCACAGATTCATTAGATTTAGTTTTAAATGAACAAAATTCAATTAGTTTAACCCATTGTTCCTGGCTAACAAGAGTATTTAGATCCTATTCATGATAAAAAATAAATGAAAATTCGAAAAATGAAAATATTTTTATTTACATACATTTTCATCTTCTGAAGAATTATCTTGATCTTCATATTCTGAAGATGAATCTGGATCATCTGAAGTTGACATCTTGATATTTGTTATTTTTTTATTCGTTAAATTTAAAATGAAATACGAAAATGATTTTTGAAATATAAACGATGAGTCATTCGAACGCAAAAAGTAAGCACCACCCAATCTAATATTATTTTGTATCGATAGTTGTCACTAATAAAATCCTTGAGAGTTCTTTCGTTCTGTTCGTAATAAAAAACGGTTTGTTTGCTTTTCTTATCTTTGAAATATTTCGTTAGCCAGTCTGTTTGATACACAATGAGCAAAAAAGAAATGAAAATAAACAAAGTTGCGATGGTGACCTATGAATAAACTTACTGAGAAAAAAAAGAAGAAAACGATGTACACATAAAGTGACCTCAATTCCATTTTTTTTTACACGTCAAAAATCCTTTTTTTTAATGTCAACTTAATTTTGATTTGTTATTCTATGGCAAGATTTTCCTCTCATTTGTTTAATTCAGCCACCAATAATACAAAAAAGAAAATGATTTAAAAGTTAAATTTTATTCCAGGTAAATTTTTTTTCTGTGTAAAACTTATCGTTAGAAAATTGTAACTGTTCACTTTTTATTTTACCATAAGGATAAATATTTCCTGGTAGCGTATAATTGTCATCGTTTTAAATCAGATTAACAACCATATTCAAAGAGATTCATTGCTATAGGCATCAAATAAGAAGATATAGAAAAATGAGAAATAGATTGAATAAGAAAAATAACTAATCATCATATTTTTATTTTATATATGTTTTTTGTTCATTCTCATAAATACGATCAATCTTTGGATAATATATTCAATTGATAAGAAATAACTTATATTTCATCATGAGAAAAAAAGAACAAATACAATGAATGTTTATTTTTTTGTTCTTTTATTTGAAATAAACGTGTTTTTTTGGACACTAATTCTCTTTTTCTCTTTACCAAGTACTATTCATTTATATTGAAACAAAGAAAAACATTTTCTTCTTTTCTAGTTTTAGAAATGGAAGATCGAGATGGTAAAAAACCTTTCATTATACCTAAAACTCATACATCAAATAAAGGTATGAAATAATATGTAAGTATTAAAAAAAAAAGCAAGAGATTTTTTTGTTATTTTAAAGATATTATCATATCTGAAAAACCTGATAGTCGTAATGTAATTGAATTATTTAATGATATTAAATCATGTGCATTAGAAGTCCATTTTGATTTTCGACAAAATCAATGTAAATCTTGTGATACAATACGTAATCAAAAATTACAAAAGTTATACAAGTAAAATAAAGAAAAAATTATGATTTTATTTTTATAGAAAATTTTTTTTTACCAGTGAAAAACGAATTAAAATGAAAAAAGATCACGATCCAATAGAACGTTTAGGTTTTCATTTAATTGCTTATCGTGATATTGCATTAAATGTTGCTAATAATGGTCTTCATTGTGAACAATTATCATTTACGATTGAAAAATATCTTGGTAAATTTATATAATATATTTGATATAAATATTATTGATTTTGATTTTTCTATTTTTAAAAGGTAATCCTAAAGATGGTGTTCATTTATCAAGACGTCCTGATGTTCTTTTAACATCATCTGGTGCTCAAGGACTTTATAGATTTGGTTTACTTATTTGTAAAGTAAAAAAGAAAACAGATTTCGAAAATAAAATGATTTAATTAATGAAGATAAACAAAAAATTTTTAGATTCTTGTGGGAAAAGGTTATGCAACAATACCATCAGTAAATAATAAACAATTTTCAGCACAATTACATTATGATCATCATTTTTGTAAAATTCAATCGATAAATAAAGAACAACGTCATATTGATGATTTATTAGCAGATTCTTTAGTAAGTTTATTGTTTTTCAAATGAATCAATTTCATAAGTTTCAATTTTTTTTAGATTTTTTGTTACGAACACGAAAATCTTGATACCATTTCTCGTCCATCACAAATATTACCAATTGCTATTCTATGGTATGATCTAGCAGAAAAATTTCCACCTGACTTAATACCTACAAATATCATCAAAACTCCCTTAAGTCAAGAATCTCTACGTCGTAAAGGAAATCTTAATAATAAAAAGGTCTCCTTAAAAAAGAAAACATCTAATCAATCAAGCAAACCTATTACTTTACATTCAAATACATCCATAGTATCTCCAGTAATATCAAATTCTATTAATCGAGAAGATTCTATTCAAGATACAACTACAACTCAAACAAACCCAAATTCTACTTCAATGGAATCATTAACACTATCAACAACAAAATATCCTAGTCATTTTATGGTTCCATATAATCGAGTATATTCAAGTTCATCTTTAACTACGTCATCAAATACTGAAGAACAACAACAACAAATAAAAAATTCTCGAGATCCTCGTTTATTAAGAACAAAACGTGAACAAACATTAACATGTTCAGAAACAATTCCATTATCACAACAAAATTTGATCTATGAAAGATCTATATCAAATAATATCTCATCAATAAATACATTAAAAACTTCTTTAGATGAACCAATACTAATAACAAAAAGTTCTTCATTAATACAAATTCCATTAAAATCTTCTATAACATTAGTTGATCCACGTTTAAAAACTCTTAAAAATACACGAAATATTTTTTATCTTGAATTAAAAACTGTTAAACATGCTATACAACAACAAAAACGTCTTAATCATTATTATGATACAAAAAATGGTGTAACATCTAAAACAAGTTATACACTTATACCATTTGTTATACGACAAGTATTAAATGATGAATATGAACGTTTATTACATGATGATAATAATACATATAAATTTCATAAATCTTCAAATAGTATTGATCATTCATTATTATATATATCTGTTATTGATTGTTTTAACTTTGGTTTAATAAAATCAACAAATAATAATAATAATAATAATCAAACATATATTGATTTAGAGCAATATGAAAATAAATTAGCTTATGAACAAATAGAAATCTCAAACGAATTAATACAACGTGAAAAACAATTAAATTCACAACATATACGTTTACGTTTACGTGAAAAACGACAAAGAAAAATGCAACAACAAATAAATGAAAAAAAAAATTCTGATAAATTATCAATTATAAATTCATCATCATTACCTAATTCAAAATTATATATAACAACTGGTAGACAATTATTAAAAGAACATATATTATCAACTAAATCATTAAATACACACATACCATCAGATTTATTAGATTTTTTTTCTCAAGAATATAAAAATGAAAATCGTCCACATGTTAAACATCTTTTAGCTGAACTTGTTGGAATATTTATTGAAAAATATCATATTGAACATAATCAACTAGGAGAACATAATGAACAGAATCAAGAAGAAAATCTTAGGTCAATTAAGGGTAGGTTTTGAAAACTTTAGCTAATATTCTTTCTTTTTTTTGTTAATTCATTTATTTTTTTTGATGAAACATGATCTAAAACGAATGTTGAAGTATAGAAATAAAACTTTCGACTTTTCTCACACAAACTATGACACTAAAGAATAAACCTTTCACGAGACTTGAATATCTCGAAAAAGACATGCTTGTTTTTGTTGAAATTTTCAGAACTATCAAACATAACAACAGGCATAATTTTGGTAAGCCTGAATTTGGTCGAAAGCAAAGATGAGAATGCAAGTAGAGATTCTTACTTTCATAATCTACGAATTTTCGACATTTTTACTTTCGATCAAATCCAAGATAATCATAAGTTCATAGAGAATCGATGGAGGAACCCATGAGACAGAAATAGTTTAGTTATGTTGCAAAGCTGCTAAGAAATATTCACGATACTGATAGGTCCATTCTTTATGAACTATCCATTATTTCATAATTTCATTTTTCGAAGATTAAATGAAAGGATAATGAAGAAATATGTCCCAAAAATAAATAGAATAAAATCATTTTCTTGTAATTAGTAAAATGGACTGCATCGTGTTTTACATTTTAATTTGATCGGTATTGTACTAACAATGATTTTTTTTAAAGAACCTACTGCTGATGATCAAACAATCAATTCTGTGATTGACATGGATATCGATTCTCCATCGTCTCAAGGATTATATGATCATGATGAACGTTTTCGAATACCAACACCACCGCCACCATTGCCACCACCATTAACACTCCCACCATTACCATCTACAAATGCAACAATCTATACTCAACCATTAACATCTCTTATTTTTACTAGTACATTATTAAATGAGTCAAATAAAATTTTTAATAATTCATGTCATAAGTCAATTGAACAATATCAACCAAATGAAATCATATTACCAAATTCACATTTAATACCAAAATCAGAATCAATAATTATTTCACCAGATGAAACAGTTTTTAAAACATGTTTAGGACACTATGAATCATCATCAAGTGAAAATAGTCTTATTGATGATAATCATTCATTATCTGTAAATGATAATATACAACAAGAAGAAAATATACTTTTACCATTAATGAAAACTTCATCAATAAATATGCAAGATGATTCAAATCGATCACGTGATGAATTTGTTCGATTACTAACACAAGAAGCTTATATATCAAAATCATCAAGTCCAGATAAAAATCAAAATACTCATAAACGTTCATATAATTATCATTATCATCATTATCATCATCATAATCGTAGACGATCATTTGATGATAATGGCAATACACGAAAACATATGTCATCAAATCATTCAAATTCTCATCAATTTTATTCAAATTCATCAAATAATAAAAATCGAAATAGACCTGTTAAATCATCACATACAAAAATTTCTTCAACACGGACAGTAACACTTACTTCAAAATTATTAAATGATGAACGACAAAATATTGAAACAGTAAAAGATAATAAACAAAATGATGTCGAAGATGAACCAATGATTAAACGTATAAAAATTGATTCCCATTCTCCATCAAGATCATCATCATCATCATTAACAAATACAAAAACTAAAATTGAAAATACAGATGAAACTATTGAAAAAGATTTAAGTCTTAAATCTATAGTAACTATTCCAACAACTAATAATGATCATGATTATCGACATGATATTCATGAAAAACGACGAACAACTAGTAATTCTAATCAATCAATAACAGATAATTCAATAAATAAATCTTCACGTTCACGTTCGAAATCAAAAGATCGACGACGACGATCATCATCAATAAATTCACATAGTTCATCAATAAAAAATTCTAAAGTAATATCAAAATCAAAAACTTATTTAAAATCATCAAAATCATCACCAATATCAAGTCGAACACCATCATCAAATGATAATTATCATCGACATCACCAAATTAAATCAAGATATCAACATCAATATGAACGAAAACGATCATTTGATTTATTAAATCATCAACATAAACAATATAAAAATCAATTATTAAATCGATATGATAATAATAATCTATTTCATGAAACATCTGATAGAAATTCTTTACCATCATCATATTATCAACATAATGTACATGATTTAGTCGAACCTGACAATTTACAACATGATCAACAACAACAACCTATACGTCATAAAAGATATAATTATAATCATCAATCAGTTGCTGATCATCCACGTTTTGCAAATGCAAATATTCTATCTCCACCAAAACCACTAATGGATTTTCATTATCCAAAATCATCAACACATAATCGTAGTTCTTCACCGGTGACCATGCAAGACCGAAAGTAAGAACAATAAAAATTTTATGTCATATTTTTTATAATGAAGAAAAAAAAATTCATTATTCATTTCATAATTATAATTCTCTAGACTGAAATTTTGAGTAAAAAATTAAAAATAAAAATCTCTATGATAAGAAAGTAAATATATTAGAAATTGTTGTTAGTACTTAAAAATATGACTTTCATTCTGAAAATCATTATCAAATATTGAAAACATGCACAGAAGTACTTTCTTTAATTAAATCATTTTTAGACAATTTAAATAAAAAAACTGAAATGTATAAGATACGGCTTTTCACATTGTTACACATTCATCTGAGTGTGTAGATATTTGTCATTTGAATGTCGACATTCAAGAGGGAATCTTCACGAATTGAAAATTACTTTTGACTTTGGATGCTGTGCATAAGATAGATCATGATGAGATATTAAAAATTTGAAAAATGTAAAGGATCCTAGACCTTCGCTACAAAGTTATAGCCATTTATAGAAATTTTAGCCTATAGATGATTATACTTATAACTAGAATGTTTTGAGAATTTCAGTTCAACAATATGTTCCCATCATCAGATATTAGATTCTCAAAAGATCTTCGAATCTTATATTTTTGAAAACTCAACATTTCGTGAATAGAACATACTTGTGAACTTAAATTTTTCAAAACATTCTAGTTACCAGTTGGCTTATGATGGACGAAATATCAGATCAAAATATTGTCATTCGACTGTTTTTGTACACATCGAGCTATAGACTCAAACATTAGTAAAATGGCTATAACTTCGCAGAGAATGTCTAACGGTCCTTATATTTTAGGTATTTTGAATATCTCATTGGGATCTATCTTATTCATCGAGTTCGAACTCAAAAATGATTTTCAAGTTAGGACGATCCCATAATTATAAGCCATCTTTCAACCTAACTGATTCGTTTTTTCTTTCTTTTTAACTTTCTGTCTGTTTCACTAAAATTCCTGAATATTATTGAATATATCTTGATAGATTTAGTTATGTATTTAAGTAAAACTGAACTATTCAGTTTCTTATTTTCATGAATAATCGTTGAAGTTAGATTTAAAGAGAATCAAGCTAACGAAATACAAATTTCGGTGACAAGAGCATAATCTTTTTTATATTTTTAAGATATATAATATCTAGTTTTTATTACTGAGCTTTTGAGTAATAAATCAGGTGTATTATTGACTTTAGTATACTATTCGAAAACTCTCGAACCAGTTCAAACAACTAATAAGCTTGGATTTGAGTATTTCTGAATATGATTGACTGTTTTCGAAAGTCTTCAGGTCTTTATATGAAATCCTTCCTCAACTCTGCTTCCTTTTATTAATTAACTGGAGACTACCACATTCTGGCTGAATCCGAACGTCCGAGGTTTGATACATACTTAATCATAATAGATAATTGCTACCTATTCTAGAAGTTGTTTTATTTTTGAAAGCTAACTGATGTGATTTTTAATATATTATAACTTTCTATTAGAAAAAAATAAATTCGTATGTATAAAAAAAACCATAGGTAAAATTTCGTTTACATTTCTTGAGTATAAAAATTAAATGACCATCAATAAAATCTTCTAGTGTTAATTTCTACATTGCAAAGTTCTCTATGACCAATGATAAACAAAAATTTTCTCCATTAAATCTGATCTATAATGATATTCCTTCCGATTGGTAGGTTTATTATTATATACATATATATATATATCAAATTTTTACAATTCGAATTTGTTTAACAATCATCAAAAGGTGAGTTTAATTTAATCACCTATGTGATGTTCTTTTTATAAATAGAACAGTTCCATGATCTATATCTATCTACATTACGAATTTTTTGGTAGAGTAAAAAATTTATATAACAGGATTAATTAGCTTGGACATTTTTGCAAATTCTTACCTTTTATTTTTTCTATTTTGCACGTTATTATACTCATTTTCTTGTTTAGAATAGTTCGCTATACAATATTACATACTGCTCGAACACATAAATAGATATATGGTGTTGGCGTGAGTGCATGTTTTTTTAAAACTATGTTAGAGTGCTAATAAATATATAAATACAGAGTTTATAGTTTAACTCACTTATAGGGCTCGAAAACAATAATAAATTATCTTCCTTGAACCTTGCTGATTTTTAATGTTCGAATAAAAGTTAATATAAATCATTTATGTTTTTGAAAAAAAACAAATTTTCTAGAAAATAAAAACCTGCACGATTTATATTATTTATAGTATGCACATTGATTCTTATTATTGCTTTTTTGTTTAAAAACTTTCTCGTTGCTTACATATCATGATCAATAATTCTGATTTAGCATGTCTTTTTCTTGGTTTTGTCTTATGTCTATTATAGTATTAATTCATCATATTATCAAAATAATTATATTAATCAAACTGAATCAAGAACAAAAAATTATTCGAATTCTTACGATCCAAAAGAATCGAATACAATAAAATGTTTACAAAAATTTCTTGAAAATGAAACAAATGAATCATATATACAACAACAAATGGATTATTCAGTAAATGAAAAAGCTAACTATTCATCTTCAACAATGAATAATGATAATTCACAATGGTCTTCTTCAAAAACAAAATCTGATAGAATTGTACAAAATAATAATAATAACAATAATCAAAAATTTACTTGTAGTGATGCTGAAAAATTATTAACTATGGTGCAACGATTACGTAATTAATAGATAGAAATATCATTTGCCTTTTCTTTTTTTTCATCCTTACGTGTGCTTTTTTTGCCGTTGTTTTTTGTTTAATATTATTTTTTTTTGTTTTCGCGTTTGTATATTATGACGTGTGCGCTTAGTAGATCGATCGAATAAATCAACGACAGTGAACATTTCCTTATAGAAATTTCCTACAAGTAATTTAGTCTCCCTTTTAAATACAAAATCCATATTATCGCTATAAATACCAGCAGTCTATTGTAATTGAAATTCTGTGTTTTTCTTTTCACTGTGTTTATTGTTGTAACATAAACAAGCATTACTGTTTTTGTGCATATATTGTATATTTCAGTATGAATTAATCGAAAAAGACGTGATTACTTTGAATATAAATAAAGGCATCATTTATATTTTCTTTGTGAAATAGAAGACTGTTGAAAAGTTATTTTAATGAAAAAAAACTATTTTATATTATTGCTATACCACTTTCGTTATGATCCTTTTTTTCCTGATGACAAACAGAAAACATCGATACTTATCAAAATATCATTTAAGTTACACGTTTTGATTAGACGATTGTTAGCTCGAGATGAAAGTCTTGAATAATTGAAGTCTTTCATCCATTTATATCAATGTTAAATTAAACAAAATTTTTCAAAACGTCGAAACAGCAAAGTTTATTATTTATCTTTATTACAGATTTGTAATACATTATTTTTGAATAATTCAATGTATAGATACAAAATATCTGTGCTTGCATATGCGAACAGCTTTTTTTTAAAAGCTTGAGAAAATATAAAAAGTTTTACTGAATTGTTTTTAATTTAATACATTTTTCTGATTTTCATTGGTCAAAAACTTTTATATATTTGAATTATTATTGAAAATAGATTAACATTTCGATGGAGATGTTTTAATCACTAGTTTGCGATAAATTTATTTGACCACAAATGAAATATATGTAAATTCATATGAACAGTAATAGCTTTTAAACCGTACAATCACCATTATTATTTAAAGAGTAAAACTAACAGTTTATTAATATATAATTTTCGACCACGACACAATAGACTGAAAAATCAAAGAAACAAAATAATATCAGAACAACTATATCACCTGGAAATGAAATAGTATCTAACAAGGATATATCGAGCTTAAGAAATTTCACCATTGGGGTATGTCGATGTGGGGAAATCTTGACCACCCGCTATACCAGACAGAAAAATAAAGATTGTCATTGATGTGTAACGGAAATATGATCGTTTCGGTGCTGAACCGATCCTACCTCTAATGTACAACAATAAATTGAATGAAACATACAATATTCGTACTTTTTAAGTAGAGAAAACGGACGAAAATATCAATGTCTCGAAAAATTCTCAAAAAATGACGCTCTAGTTATAAAAGTACTCTCTTATAAAATAGTAACAAATCTTAACTAAAAAGAAGGGACTCTGTCATGTCCTGCATATTAAGATACTCTTTCGAACAAACCATATCACATTTAGAGAATGACAGTCAACAGAGACTTTATGGCTGCGCGATCAAAACAAAATATACACAAAAAAAAGTGAATAACATCTTTTTGCGTTTTCTGAAAACGGCGTATTCCTGAATTAGATGATGACATATATCATCAAAAGTTTTGGCCAAAAAAAAAGGAAGTGTCAAGTAAAATTATGTCATTTATGAAAAATTAGACCTTGGGTATTTATCTTAACTTTCATTTTCTTGAAGAAAATTGAGTGTATTCAAGGTGAAGGAAGGAGCTTTTACTTTTTTTCTAAAGAACGACTTGTTATTTTGATATACCTAAAGTTTGAATATCGTCTTGTATATTCTTTGATGATCTATAAAACTTTGTTGTACTTTCGTGAACATAAGTGTTTTTTGACAAAACAAAATGCACTTAGTTCAAAAAAATCTAATGAAGTGAATGTCTATATATATATTATTTCAATTCAAATATTCACATTGTTATTCTTATTCTTGAGTAGTGAAGCAGACAACCATTTACAGTTTAGTATATTTCGTAAAAATCAAATTTTAAAGCTAAAGAATCCTTTGTTTTCTTTTGTACAATTTTGATATATTAATCAATTTGAAAATACGATCAACTCGTTTTTTAATTTATGAAAAGCGTTGCTTTTTAAGCATAAAAAAGAATTTTTCTATTGGTTTCTTGTATATGACTTTACATTAATTAAAAACGCATATTTTTCGAAGCATATCAAATACTTTTCATAGACGACATACTTAGAGTTCTGTAAATTTTTTGTTCGTTACATCATACGTACGAACCATCTTCTACTTTCAAAATGCTCATACAAAAAAAAATATTGTGTTTCTCATAGTAAAACTTCAAGGGTAAATCAAAAGTTTTTCTTTTGTGTGTCCATGATTCATCTTTAAATGAATTTTTTCGAGCGTTGTTTCTTTAAACATTCGAAAATTTTCAATAAATGACACATAGATAATTTAGAATAAGTAATTTGAAAAAGACAATGAATATTAATCAATAGAACTCATAAATATATTATATACGTATGTAAATATATGGATATCAACGTGTACTTTATCAATTACACTAAATTCAATAGGCTAGCTTTTTCTCAAGATTGTGAAAAAGCCACACACATAAAAAAAAAATATATATATCTATGCATTTATATATTTTTGTTGTCACTTTGCATCAGTTCAATACATTGTAATTGTTTTGTACCATTAGCAATTAATATTTGATTTGTTGTATGTACTGTTAATGCTCGACCTGTACGATGTAATTTAACATATTCTTTTTTTCCATAACGATCAACAATCCATAACTTTTTTTTTCCATTTGTTATAAAAAATATTCCATCATTATTTGCTCGAATTTCATGATCAATATCACATTCACCTAAATTTATTGTACATAATTCATGTAGATCTATATTATCACAAAGTGTAACACGAAAATTTTTTTTATATGTCATTGTATTTGTTGTTTGCTTAAATTGAAATACAGTTGCAATAAGATTTGCATGAATACAAAACGATGTACTATTATCTGAAAACCGTGAATAATTATGTAAATCAAATAGTTTTATACAATCAAATGTTTTTGCAGAATAGACATGTAATTGACTTAAATGCGGAGTATCCGTCCAAAGCCATAGGAAATTTTTATCAGCGGATAGTCTTATATAAGACCAAGATTGCGTTATTTGCAATTGTATATCAATAGTTGAATCATCATTATCTGAATCAATAGTACATGTATAAACACCTGTTTTAGTTGCACAAACAAATTGTGATGATGCTGGTGAATAAACTAAATCAATTATAGGATAATGTGGCCACCGGCAGGTTATTTCTTTTGTTCTTGATGTTTCATTAACTCGTCTATCAGATAAAATATTTAGAATATAACAAAGTGATTTTGATGCATCAGAAAAATAAAGACAATGTTCACCATCACTTGCAATACGATCAACTTCATTTTGTGTTGATATTGTACCTTGATTAATATAACGTTTACTTAAAAAACGTTCTGTATGAGGTAAATTATTTAATTCACTTATTTCTTCTTGTAAAGAAAAATATTCTTCATCATCATCATCATTATCAACAACATCATCAACATATGTTTTATGAACAGATTCAATAATAGAATCAGTTTGTATTTCTTTTGTTGAATAAAGATTTTCATTAAGTTCTTCAACTTCGGTATCAACATCAATCTTTTCATTATCATATTCCATATGTTGACCACATAAACATTTTGTTGATATAATTTTACCTGGATAAGAAGAAGAAAATTTTTTTGACGCTGTATATGAATCATTTAATAATTGACAATCCAAATTAAGTTTATTTCGTGGATATGTAGACATTTTTAATTGCATATTAGGCAAAGAAAATGTATTCAAATGTTGTTGCATTTCATTAATTTGTTTACTTTGAATATCAAGTTCAAGAATAACATTGTTTGTTATGCCATTACGATTCCAATTTTGTTGTGATTTAGCTATTAATGAGTTCACATTTGTAATCATATCTGATATTACAGTCTAGAAATATTGTATTTACTATTTTTTAATCCAGAAAAAGAAAAACTTACCTGAGACTCATTAAATTGTTGTTTAACATAATCAATACTTTCTTTTCGAAGAGTTTGTAAATCATTAAGTACTTTATCAAAAGCAGTATTAACACTACATACACACTGTTCTTCAAATGTTTTAAGTAATTCACGTTTATTATTAAATAAATCAGCTAATTGTGAATAACGTTTTTGTATTTGTGAATATTCATCAACTAATTGAGCTGTATGTTTTTCAAAACAATCATAACACATTGATAAACGACAATGATCGCAAGAAAAACTTGATAAACGTTTTTTACCAGTAACGGACGATGTATATGTACATATTTGACAATAATGATCGTTAATTGTTAGTGTTTTCGAACGTATGCTCATGATTATTGTCTAATATGTTAACCGAAAATTTATTATAGAATTATAAAGAAAAAGAAAAAGAAAAGTATCTTTAAACGTTCGTCACTCTTACGTTGTTTCTTGCCTTTTTTCTCTATTTCTATTTCTTCTAGTGCTGTTTGATTAACATTGAGAATAATAGTGGTAGTAGTAGTAAACGAGAAAAATGAACAATAATAACATCTGGCAAGTAGTAACAATCAATAATATTCACTTGTTTGAAAAAAGTGTGATACAAAAAAAAATTTTCTTTTTCTTTCTCTCGTTGTCTCTTAGAACTGTTGTTATTTAAAATAGGCAAGCAGAATATGGAATTGTTTTTCTTTTTGCAAGATAAGTCGAACGTGAATATCTAAGTGAGAAAAAAATTGTTGTCTTTAAATAGCTCTTACTTGAAGTCCACTTCAGATTACACACATGTATATTTTAAATGGTTGTCAATATCTGAAATTTTTTAAGTAGTATTCATATTAGTTATTATTTTATGCTAACAAAAATGTGTATTCTTAAGATATTTTTCTCAATAGTATATCTAATATTTTATTTTTGAAAAAAATTTCTTTGTCTCTTGACGCATGTTTGGACCTAACATTTGTCCAATTAATAAATAATAGTCATCATATTTAATAAGAAATAAAAATGGACGATTAGCAAAAAATACCCATGGAGTTGTTGGTGAAAGATCAATCGAATGTAAACAATTTGATGATGTTTGTTGTATTTTATCTGTACTCATATCAAGAATAAAATGACCAAGAGAATGTGCAGCAGCTAAACTTTCAAAAACAAAAAGTTATATAAAATCAAAAAAAGAAAAACTTTCAATGCGATTACAAACACAAATGAATTTCTTGATTTAATTCTCCTAAATTATCTTTAATATATAAATCATTAAAAGATTTCAATGATTCAATAAGATTAATATGAATATCCATGGATATATTTGGTATACATACAGCAATATATGCTGATGAAACTGGTAGATTAAGATATTCTTTAATATTAGCATAAAGATGAATAAGATCAGATGAACATCTAAAATAAACAAAATTAAAAAATATAACTTTTTTTTTTCTCTAAATAATCTATTAAATAAATAACTGTGGAAGTAAAATGATTAATTTCATTTGAATTCCATCGAAGATTTGACCAGGTATTTCAATTTTATGAAATGTATCATGAAAAGCAACATGGAAAAAACCTTTTGTAAAATAAAATTCTGTTTCAATTGATAAATGAATATTTGAATGGAATTTTAGTGACCTGATTTCAATTAAAACAAAAAAGAAACATATTTAATTACTTATTCTATTTTGAAGTATGTTCAAATTTCTGTTATAACTAATACATGAGAAGATAATTTCAAGGGAAATCTCTTAATTATTGTTATCTAAGCAAATTGTATAATAGATGTCAGATATTAGTAAGAAATTCGAATATTTCCTTGTTATTTTTCGAAACTATTGAAACTTACTTTTCATATGACTATTTTTTTTTTGGGCTTCTCTCATATGTTTGATTGTTGCAGCATGAGAGTAAATAAAACTATTTACATTGAATTTTTCTGTGAAATGAAGTTTTTAATCCAACAGCAGCAATTATATCATCAGAGAATTTTGGCTTGACATCCATACCTGTCTAATGGCACTGAATATACCTTTTGCAAATACATCGCCATAAGAGATTGGATCATCTATAGTGTTTCGATTAAGTACTATAAAATAATCTGTGTGTAGTCTGAAAATTCTTTCTCTTAAATTTCGTAGTTGTTAAATATTTTTAAGAAATGAATGCTAATAAAATTTTATAGATCTTTAAAAATTAATTGAGAACAATATATATTTTTGAACGTGATACTGAGGGGTCGAAAAAAACGATACTAGCTCAAAGAGAAAAGTTCAGTGATTTTTAATGAAAAAGTGATTTAAGTTTAGTCTAAAGAAAAAATCTAAAATGGGGTATAGTTGACAGCCTTGATCTACTAACAATAAATATATCATACTATGTCACTAAGGGTATAAGTAATTACCGCAGTTTCTTAGAAATGACCTATCTCATATGTTAGTAATTTTGAAATTTTCCTTTCTCGGAAACCTAATCATTGCTCGTATATTTTAAATATTATTCTTTGTACCAAAGTTGTTCCCAATGTTCAGTTTTAAATGGTCGAAAAACAAATGAACAACATGATAATAAACTCATTGGTTCAACAATAATTTGTTCAAGAATTTTTTGTGATGGCACAATTGATATTAATGATTGATCAGTTAAATGTTTTATAATTTTATTTACAAGAGATTTTCTTCGTTCTATATCACTTAAATTATGAATTTGAAATTCTGTATTAAAATATTTCATTGTTTCTTCCTAATAGATTTCTTTTAGTTTTGTTTTCTTTTTTATTTAAAACTTACATTAAGATTTTCATGAAAGTTTTTAATTGAATCTTGATTAAGAATAAAATAATTATAAAAGGGAACTGGAAGTTTTTTACTAGAATTCTTTGTCGATTGTTTATTACTAAATGATAATGCATGAAATGCAGCTTCAATAGCTATTGGTGAAATAAATGTATTATCATCACGTATACTTAATAAACATGTTTTACTTAATCGTCCTTTCAAGAATTGAAGGATTGCTTGATTGTCTGGACATATTGAGTTTTGGCGAAAAGGAAGATATAAAATCAGGGTGACGTATGAAATTTGTATATTGTAGAGAACTTTTCTAGTCTGTCATTCACAAAATAAACTTTATTTAACTCACCTGACATATATTTTCAGCACCTGCTGTTTCAGATTCAACAATAGCACTAAAATCGCTGCCAAGCAATGCAGATGCTGTATTGTTTATAACACAAAAAATTCAACAGTAAGTGTTGATTTGTTTCTACAAAACTATGCCTGTAATTGGACATTGGATTACTTTAGAATCGATATCTCTGATGACTCTTTGATGCCAGATAATGTTCCTATCTGCTCAACTGGTCACATGACTTAAACTTTATTTGAAAGTTAAAAAAACAGTAATTTTTATCAGATAAATTAAAACTATATATATTGTTGTTAATAACTGACTACTGTTTTCAATCAGTTTGGAGTCTGAAAAACTAAATAGTAAAAAGTATGCACTCTGCGGAAAAAAAATAAGTAAACGAGGCTTTCTTTGGTAATTTCTTTTGTGTTACTTCTTACAACAATGTTTTTTTGGTAAATGTCTAAACTGAAACATTTATGATATGTCTTTGGAATAGAATTTTAAGCTGCTCCGTTATTGAATATGTACTCTTTTTTCTGTCAGAAGACTGATCCCGCTTGGCTGCTTAACTTGCGAAACCGACAACACGCAAGTCTGACACCAATGGACATCCAAATAGATTCGTTTAAAGATGAATTGAAAGTGATACAAAATCATATCAAAGAAATGGTCGATGAAATCGAACTGACGGAAAAGGACCATGAAAGAGCCGGATATGAAAAAAAGAAAGTCGAAGAAGAAATGAAATCGGCGATAAACAAAATCAAATTCGCCGAACATGAGATGGAACTGGCAGCGGTAAGAAAAGAAAATGCAGAAAGTGCGAAGATGAAGTATGAAAATAAATCAAAAGATATCTTTCAGAAGAGTGATCAAGCTGAAGCAAAGCGGCATGAAGTGAACCAGTATTGGCTAAACTTGATCAATCAACATCTTCTTCAATATCGAAAGAATGGTCATTAGTGAGTTTTACATAATTGAGAAAGCTACTGCTCATTAGTTTGCAAGCACTTTTTTATTTAATCGATTATGATTTCTTATGTTTGTAAAATAAGTATGCTATCAAATAAAACGATGATCAAACGTCTCAGTAAGAGTCTTCATCCAAAAAAATCAATGAAAAAAGGAAAATAAAACCGAATGTATGTATGAGGATTAATTCTATCTCGCCTTGTTTACTAATCTTTGCTTTCTTTTTCTCTTTATTATAGGTTTCTGCTTCGTGTGTAGTCTTAACTTGTTTTTGTTTTGTTTAATACGATCCGTATATTTTGTCCTCCTTTTTTTATTTTTGATTATCTTTATTTTTTTTGAGAAAAAATGTCCAAGTCTTGGTTGGGAAACAAGAAAAAAAATCATGTTTAGTTTCTCATTTATATAGATGATTGAACTAGTTTGATATATAATCATTGTAGTCATAAAATGTTGATTTACATCCATATAGCATCACAAAACAAACAGCTAAATAGGCAAAAAAAAGAAAATTAAATATAGCCACTTATTAAGACAGTTACAAGAAAAATGAAAATTGATTGAGAAAAAATGCTCCTCTCGCCTATTAATATATAAAAATAACACTGCTTTAGGTAAAATATTGTCTATATAATATGAAATTTACTTTGTCTTTATGTTCTTCATATGACGTTTCAGGAAAACATTTATAAATAATTAACAGAAACTTGTTTCTTATAATATACGTAGGTATATTGTAACTCAAGCATATTGAAAATATTGGGGTCAAATAAAAGATCTTATTAAATAAATTAATAAATTTAAAATGAGAGCTTCATATGACATGTATGAACTGAGATATTCGAATTTTAAGATATTGGTAATGTATTGCTTGTGTCAATGATTCAATATTTCAGAAGAATTGTCTGTTTTTCTATTTTCGTTATAGTTCGATAGACATGCTTGAATTCGATAATTTCCATCCAGCTATGATAAAAGGAGAAACAACAACAATTTTGCTGAAATATTGGCACGTTCAATACATGGTCAATATCTTAAAATTTGAATAACTCATTTCATAGACGATGGAAGGTTTTGATTCTAGGATATATTCAACATTTTATAAAATTTGCGTCTGTCTGTTAAAAATAAGAAAAAACGAGATTTTGAATGGTATTTAGATGAAATACAGTTAACAGCTCTATTATCGAACTCGCGTTTTGAAACATCTAACTATGGTACAACTTTTAAAAAAATCCTAATTTTCATGACACAAAAAAAAGTACAAACGTTTATGATCGTTGAAATATAACTTTCGAAAGAAAAAAGTTTGATTTGTTTTACTTGAAAAAAGATTAACTGTGAAGAAAAAATATTTTACAAAAGAAGAATTTATATATTTCATAGTAAATTTCTTTATTATTGAAAATATTTAATATTCATGCAATTATTATCTTCAAAGACGACGAAGTTTTGTCATTTTAATTAAATTGTCTCGGTCATTTTGTACAGCTCTTCTTCATCTTTAATGAAAGATCTTTATTTTGAAGTAATTGTGCAAAGTATGATCAAATATTAATACGAAATTAAATACTTCCTGAAAAAATTTTTTAAAACCTATTTAATGAGAAACATGTTATTGCTAGCTGTCGGAGGTGAGGAAAAATATTGACGTTTTTACAAATAATAGAATGTGCTGCACAAGTCTAGTAAACTAATGGAACAAAAAACAAGTATTTGAGGGTGTGGATGGGTGTGGGTGTGGGTTTATTTGTTTCTTTACCACACCCACATCCACATTCACACTAGAGGGTGTGAGTGTAGTTGAAGACATCCACACACTCACAGCCACACTCTCATCCAACACCCACCCACACCCACTCACTTTCACCCACATCCACACACGCATCCACACCACACCCACACCAGACTCACAGCACACTCACACACCGACACCCACACACCCTCATCCACATTCACGCCCACACCCAATATCATGCCGTTTCATTATCGTTATCGACGACAAGGGAGCTTTACATTTCAGTCACAAGGAAACTGCAATAAGAGAATGAGTATAGGTATGGACCTGACACTCGAAAATATCCACACCCTTTTGGACTCTATTGACTTTGATAATCATCAAAGGTCCAAGATTTGTTTATTCTGATTCCATTGCTGCCTATTGTTCTCTGGAGACCGTGTTCTACAAGAAATTGTTGATCAATCCATATAAGTGCGTTCAATTTATTGAAATAAGCTATCATCTTTAACGTCGAGATGTCTTGAACAGATTTTATGCTCAAGAAGCTGCGAATGGACGCTTGATTTCAACATTTGACTTTTACGTGAATCACAAATTCTCAATTGCACACTTTGTTGAACTAAAGGAATTAGCTCCGTTCTCTCAGCACAGATCTTGAATGGTCATTTTGTTTTCGAATATATGATTTATTTCCGTTTAAAAATAGTTTTATGATAGAACAGTAAAAATAAATATTCGAGAAAATGAACTCACATGAGATCATTAGATCTCACAACAAACTAACGGATTAAATATTTAATTGATTTGTCCTGTCAATGAGAGATAAGGCAAAATTTATTGTCTATTAGTTTGTATCTTTCTTCGAATAATATGAAATTCGTTTCGAATGAATCGGTAGAGCATTTCTATTAGCTCCATAATTGAAAGAAGACTCATGCCAATCCATAGGCCAGTTTGATCACCGATATTTGAAAAAACATCTACTATATCGAAGCTCAATGATTGTATATTCTTTTCGATAACACTTGTTTCGTGTACAACATTGATAGTCAGATAATTTATACGAATTTCCTGTTGCCATGTACTAGACCAATTCATTGTTAATGGGATCGTGGAATTTTCAACAAACTTCTTTATATCTTCAATTTTTCATTCGCCTGGCAGTGACAGTGAAGAAGTTTGTACAATAAAATTTTCTATTACACATTCTTGTAAACATTCTGAACAGTAATTGTTGATAAGAGAAGGCGAAATTAAAAGTTCACCAATGGCGTTTTTGTAACACATACTGCCATATTGGCAGAGAGGCGCAAAAACCACTCGATTCATGTTTGAGAGATAGAGTTTGCGACCATTCCATAGGACAGGACTAACATAACCGCATTGTTCATACCTAAAGTACAATGAAGGCCATTATATAAAATACGATAAAAATTACGGTATTTTATTATCAACTAAAGTACGCTTACGCATAGACCTGTCCACAAAGTTAATAACATAGCGCTTCAGAATAGCCATAATCAGTATTATTATAATATTCAAACATGGCTTGCATAATTGAAGATACTTTCTTAGTGCATGTTGTATAGGATGAAGACAACAGGTAAGTTGTCTTCTTCCTGTATCCAGGTTTGTGCCTTAGTCCTGACGCTAATTCAATACTTGGCAATTGTGTATTATCGTGAACTAGAGTCACAGCACCAAATCCTTAATAAAAAAAATTAATTTATAATATTTATAGAATAAAATGTTGACTTACCTTCCGTTAGAGAAGGTACATATTGATGACTATGTATGCAAGGACTTATAGAGAGCTTTCCATCACCACCATATGCGTTGGCATAAACTATACTTCGATTGATATTATTTGTCAATGCTGCATTGAATGTATAACAGGCACCGTAGATGAATGATGTATTTGGAACGAAATCATTTACTGAACATGGCATATCATTGAATGAACATTTGTACATCATTGAAGAAAGTGAATAGAAATATTTATCAATTGTTTCGTTTCTATTCAAAGTGTCTATGAGAAATTTTGTAAGATCTAAAAATTGAAGTGAGTTCGATGTTGTATCATTTGTAATTGTCTAATTGCTCATCATAGAGTAGTTTAGAAAAGACTCCTAAAATAGATCCAGATGGAGTGGTGAGACATTACAGAAGCTAAATGTTGGAAATTCTTGGGGTCATTCACTAACGAAACTTGTATCTACACTTGTCAGATAGTCGAAATAAGCCAAGATCGCTTTGACAATAAAATAGATCATTGGACCAGTAAAACTAATGAATGAAAGTGACCAAAAAATACGATTATGTAGACTTTCACTTCGAGCAATACTCGGTAAAGCATGTGTTGATGTATTTAAACTGAATTCACGAATGATTGAAAGGCGATGAGATATCTTGTTTTTCGGTTGAGCCACTGCAATATCATTGACGGGTGAAAGAACCCAGTTTTCATTTTGATACCACGTGAAACTTATTTAATGAAAGAAAATCTAAAATTAAACGTTTTCAAGATTAATGTAATTCGATAGCAAATCATTAGTGACTATGTATTTTCAATAGAAAAATGGATGAATACTTCAAAACTAATGACTATAATATATTCCTTACTTTTTTTTATCATGTAAGAATCTAATCAATCTCGTGATTAGCCACATCTAACTTTGAATAACTACAGAAATTACACGAGGCTTTTATTTCATTATTAATTATAATGCTTTTATGAAACATAAGTATCGATGAGTGTTGACATGTATCGCGAGAAAATCAATCTCATTTGCTTCGGCTTGATCCAAAAACCGCAAGAAATGTGCTGATATTCTTGTAACCGATTGACAGACTATAGCATAGATTTCTATGTGTTTATAATGGCCTATCGGTTTTTTCCTACATGCTGGTTTTGGATCTCCAATTGTGTATCACATATATGATGAAGTTCTCTAATACGAAAAAAATGACAATTAGGTACATAAGAATACTTCAAGTATTTTTTAAAATTATCTTTTACAACTTCTTACCTATGTCAAATATGTTATCCAAATACATCTGGAGCTTATTTAACCGAAGTCTACTTGCGAGTCAAGCCACAATACTTCATCATACTTCATTGATACTGAAATTTTAAAATACCGGAAAGAATTTGAGCTGCAGCATCAGAGTTTGCAATACATGTCCATAGTAGACATGATGTTGCTGAAAAACTCTAAAGGATAACTTTGATATACTCTTGGAATAGGCTAAAATAGGAAGTTTTCGCTTTGTGCACTCGGGTTTTCCCATAATACCTAAAGGAGCTCTATCGTGTTTAATACTTTAGTCTTGTAACGATTATGTTGAAAAATTTGTCTTCAATATTTATTTCTATTCGTTTTCTCTATTTTAGCATCTATCAATGAATATAAAGTTTCATAGGACTACGAATTCTACATTAGCCTTGTACACTAATGCAATGTTCGTCAGATACAAAAAATTATGAATTTAATGAAAGTGTACTCTGCATCTGTTCCTAAATACGCTTTATTGTTCTTTTTTTCGATTCTGTGAAAGATGTGATATTAATAATACAAAGTGAAAATAAATATATATTAAATTACAAAGACGAACAATGTTGCTATTTTGTTTCATTATCATAAATTGATACCGATGTGATTTGATAAAATATATTAGGCGTATTTTGATGATTACCCATTTAATAGAAATAGTCATTTGCATCAGGGAAACTAGTTCGATATGTAAGAAAAAGAATATATCTATGGTGAATTTTTTCAAAATAATCTTCTAGAAGACTGGATCCACCGTTACTGATTGTAATACTGATGTGTACGTACATTAGTTCTACGTATATTAATCGACTATCGTGCTTCAAATTGAACTTATCTAATAGTCAGTAATATCGACCATAAACTAATATAAACAGAGTTCTTGGACTCCGAATATCAATGATAGTTTATCGGTTGCTGAACAAGAACATGTTGATTTCAATAATGCTAACGTAAAGATCAATCATTTTAGACTAATTCTAAAACGTTTCTATGTGTTGTAACCAGTAACAATATTCTGTTAAGGCCTATGACTTTACTTGCTCTACTGTCTAATTGAGTGTATGCGTATGCATACAAATGTATGAGTTACAGATGAATACCTCTTTCCTAATTTTTTTCGCCAGTGTTTGACTATTTGAATTTGTAAGAAGCAAATGCCAAGCTAGTTACTTCGAACTAGGACTGTTAATTTATTATTCTACTTTTGCATATGTTTCTTTCACAACCAGTAAGCTTTCATCGTGGTGTCATTATAGTTATAACACAAAACAAATATAGTATTTTCTGCTTCATGTAGTTTTGCACATAAGTAAATGGTACAGAAAAAAATCTCTCAATAGTAATGTAAAACAAGTTCTTAGAATAAAAAAAAGAATGCTTGATTATGCTTGATTATTCAAATTTCAATCATCAATAGTCAATTATGTTTTGATTAAAAAGTTTGCCAACGTAACCTTTCATAAATTGAAAATGTGTAAATCACATGCAATCGCTTTCTGGACCACAGAGCAAATTGTACGAGTGTGAAAGCCTCCTACGAAGGGTGTGGGTGTAAATGTTGGGATGGATAGACTCACAATTACATCCACAGCGCACCCACTCTCACACGCACCCGCATCCATCCCTACACCTTTTCTGTAGCTGTTTTTCAATCATTAACGTCTAGTAGTAGTCAATAGATAATAAGCTTTTTTTCGAACTTTAGCTATAATCGATGGCAACTGACAAAAGTGACGTTGCAACACAATCAAACGAGTCCTATCGCAAATCATCAAAACCAATCAGAAAACAAGGAAAGGCAAGCTCGTACTCATACAAAATTTAAACTTGTGAAACGTAAATGTCATCACCATGGCAGGACTAAAGAAAAATGTACGGCATTAATCAACATAGTTCATCATAATCATAATTATAATCATAACTCAATAAACACTGATGCGTCAATTAAAGTATCACCAATGATGGACAACAAAAAATTACGATGAACTCAATAACCGAACAATCAAAGAAACATCAGCTATCGCCACAAAATGATGAACAAGAAAATCATATAAGTACAGAATAAATATGATAAATTTCTCCTTCTCAATTGAAACCAAATCAATTCGAAAAATAATGAGTCAAAACCAAGTGTAATCTCTATCAATAACAATTCATCCTAAGTTTTCGACTAATAAGAGAAGAAAAATCGGAAAGTTTTCAATTAAGTGTCGATATCTTGGTAGGTTTACACATTTCATACCCTGCAGATAATGTTTGAATTCTTGAACGCTTTCAGATACTCGAAAATCTTACCGTTTAGACGCATTTAAACGCATCAAATTACAGCACTCCTAAAGGTTTAGAAGCACGTTATACATCTGAAAATAGTTACATGGACCCTGGAAAAAATGATTACGTAGCTCTAATTATGTGAAAAAATGAATGAAAAACTTTGATTTTAATCGAAATCATCAATAAAACATATTAGATAGGTTAATTACTTTCGTCATATCATAAAACACTAAATGATACGATTTTTAAAAAAAGTATGAGAAAAAAAATCAAGAGTATATAGATGCGTGATTAGAGTTAATTGAATTGCGTGGCGAATTCATCAAGTTGAATAATTTCATCGTTGTTGTGATCTGCCTTGTTAAAGTAACCTTCGAAAGTGAGTTCTGGAGGGGTAGGTGTCGGGTGTGGATGTGTGGGTGTGGGTGGGGTGTGGGTCTCGCTGTCGGTTTGTCTTGGTGTCTAGGACACAAACACACCCACACCCTACTGACGTCACAGTGTATCCGTTGAAACGATACTGAAGGTTTCTTGTTTTGATCATACTGTGATGCATAATAAAAACGCCATGTTGCAAACATTTTGATACATATCGATAATTGAGCAGCATCGATAAGTATGGTAATTTAGGGACGTATATTCATAAATATTTAATATCATATCTAAAGGTAATGGCCAATGCTGTATATAACAATGTTTATGAATACTAAATTATGCTTTCCTGGCAAATATTTCTTCATTCACTCTCATACTTCATAAATGATGTCGTATATACTTGTAATTACACGGTAATCAGTTGACATTTTAGTATCGCACGTCAATCGAAATTAAACAGACTTACATATATATTCAATGGTAATGTTGGTCGACAACTGGTTTTTTTTTCTAGAAAACTACCCTGGGTCTTTTCTCATTATATAAGGCAAGGGTCTGTGAAGTTTGTGCTGTATCACTACGTTCACTTTATTTGTGAGCAAAAGTACATTATGTGAGTTATCATTTCTTATCATTAGACACATGCATATAACTAACTGATATCAATTCCGACTAGATTTTATCGAATAGTCTTTATTAAAAATCAGAAACTCATTCAAATCATATTGTCGTTTGCTTAGTCATTGGTTAGATGCGGAATTCTAAAGATAATGAATGAATATATGCATTCTTCCAGTGCATACAATAATAAAAACTTATTGAACCTTTAAATATTCTTCGAAATATAAGAATGTTTGCTTTTAATTTTCTTAATATATTAGTTCACTATCCCTACCAACCAATTTTCATCAATTTTAATTCCCTTTGGCTCCTATGATTCATCACCTAGTAATCGCAGAATCAAAGACAACAAAAATGACTTCGTGTATTAGAAATTACTAGAGATTGCGAGAAATCAATGTCTCAAAGATCAACATATTCTTTTCATTTTCTGTTGATTTCTAATGATTTTTCAGTCATTAGTAATCAACGAAAAAGAGCTATTTCTAATGTTAGAAATTATTCGAAATTCAAGAAACTAGTTTGTTACCCTTTGATTACCTAAAATTTCAAGTACACTCTGGGCTAGTGTAATACTGCTCAAATGATTTATTGATAGGTCATTAAAATATCGAACTTCGAATTCAACTGATAACAACGGATATGTTTCAATAGGACAACAATTATCGGATATTAATTTAAGGGTATCTGAGGGAATTAATATGGATGATACAAAATTTAGTTATGAAACAATTGTATCTCTAAGTGGTGATGAAAATATTCATTTATTTTCATGTATCAAAGTTCTTGATAGCATGACAACAAGTTCAATTGGATTTGATCAAATTGCAAGTGCTCATATACAACTAATGAAACAAATTCAAGAGCATCTCTCTTTAGAAATACATTTAGCTGACGTTACAAAAATCAATTCTGAAATCAATGAAATACTTACAACAGATGTTTTTCCATTGGTTTCTATTCGTTATCGAGAAACTACTGAAGAAATGAGAGCTATGGTAAAAGAGCAAGAACAATTAATGTTAAATATATATTTGAAAAAAAACTTAGAAGAAGATGAAAATATTGATCAGTCCATTCCAGTCGAATCGCTTCACAATACATTTTCAGAGGGTATCGACACATTTGCCATCAAAAATAAAATTGAACAAAACAAATTACAAATTCAACAAGTATCATATTTTGCTCTACGATCGTTAACATCTTTATTGCTAATGTTTATCAAGTCAGCAGAAAAAAATGATCCAACATTTGTTCAAGAACTTTTAACATTAACAATTCATTTATGTGATCAGATTCCCATGATCAATTTTACAGCATCTGATTCATCACCACTCATCGGTAAACATTGGTTCCAATCATTGCAACCGTTAACAAATTACTTTCATGAATTATCATTATCGAAAAACCTCATCGTAGCAAACAAATCTATGAAAATTTTATTGAATTTTGCTATTGCAAAAGCATCATTTAAAGACATTCTAACAATTCTAAGAAAACTCTTATTCAATAAAGTTCATGTTTACAATGTTCAACGTTTATTCACGCGAATGAATAATTGTTTGATAGAAACTCTTAATACGATGCCAAAGAAAAAGCAACAACAACAAAATAATAATTCTGATCATAATTTTGAACAAGACATAGATGATGACACAGTAGCCAATGAAACAACAGGTTAGAATATGTTTCTATGAGAGTTATTGATGCATTGTCTGAGATGAATCGATTTTAATAAATAGTCAAAATGAACATTACTGCCGGATTTTGTAGACAAGTAATGACATTGATTTGGAATCGCTCATTGAGATTTTTAATAGAAACTAATGTGTAGTTTTAGGAAAGATACAATAGCTTAAGAAAAAATAAATTTTCTACATTGGAAGACGAGTCACTTCCTATTCTGTAATTCATTTCAATAGACTGTGAATCTAACATAGATGAATGTTGTTTTGTAAAAGCAACAAATTTCTAAATGAAATTTTATTGATTCTTTTTATTAGACTATTTGAAAGCAATTGGTGTATTTCCAAATTCACAACTAGTTCAATTAAATGAAAAAGAATTTACTGGACCATTTGTCGCATCTGTTGTTTTGGCACATATTGATTTTTATAATCGAATTCATTCAGTTGAACACTTAAAATATGGTTCAATCGATAGTTCAATTTCATTCGAATTTCATCCGACTACATTTGAACAGTTATTTCATATTATTGAACAATTCATAGCAACCAAAATAAAGGGTTCCAATATGATCATTTGTCATATTCTGACTGTTTGTTTAAGATTATTCGCAACGCATCTGAAATTTTTATCTATAGTATCATCAACTCTTGATCGAGATTTGTTATCGACAAATGAGAAATATAGAAAAACTAGTCGAATTTCTTCTAGTAAATCAAAATTTGACATTGATTTAACTATATTTGCAAACGATCATCAATACCAATTATGGTTTGATTTATTATTAAAATTAATTTGCAATGAAGATGAAATTTTACGACAGGGACAAATCCGTCAAGAAGCATCAAAAGCTCTTATGTATATTATCGATAAAAGAGCAAGATCATTTACAGAAAAATTATCATTTTTCTACGCATATATTATTGAAAATAAATATTCTCTATTTGTTGAACAATTATTTATAGAATTGAAGAAAAGTATACTGTTACTAAGCTGGATCGAAGTATTAGTCAATGATGATGAAAATAACTCAGAGAAAATGACAGCATTAGCAATATTATATTCTTTCGTTGATATTTGCTCAAATCCATCGAATGATATAGACCTACCACGAAAAAAACAAATTCGACAAATTCTAATTATGTTTCAAGAACTTTTATTAACACAATTAATTTCACCATCACAAATAGAAAATACTCAATATGATGATTCAACTCAAAGTGATTTATCTAAATTTCTTATTTCTCATGGTTTTGTATCTTTTATAACTACTTATGTCAGTCATATTTTAAGGAGTTGTGCTGATAATGATTTATTGAATTCAATTTTTATTAGTTTGTGTTTAATGACAAAAACAGAAAATATTTTCAATTTTGACCAAGTCCAGCCGATATTCACGAAACTATTGCCAATATTAGTACAATATCTATTGAAGAATACTATGAATCAAGAAAATTTATCAAATAGTCTGTATATCATATGTTGGTTAATAGGTAAAATGAGTAATGTGATGATTATTGGACCTGAACAGAATTTTTTTGAGTTAAAACATATTGATAAATTGAAATCACTTCTGTTTGCGGGTGGATGTGAAAAAATAATAATTGAAAAAAATAAGTATCTATTCGATTTATACGAATCGAATCTTGCTGTTTATAGTCGATTTAAAATAGACAATCAAATGCAAGAATCCTTATCATCGTTATCGGATGATGAATTTTTAATGTCAATTTACAATAACATTGGTCAAGGTGCACAATTAATATCAAAAATGAAAGAACATGTTGAAGATAGACAACAATTATTAAAATCAATCGAACATGAAGCAAATGATGCGTGTGCTGCTCTATTTGCTGTTTATATTAAACATTATCGTCGAATTGATCTTGCTAAAAGAGAATTACTGCGAAGGGATGATGAAAAACCACATAATAAATTATTATCAATCTATGAATGTTCAAATGATGTTAAAATATTATTTACAACAACAAGAGCACAAGGTGGTAATTTAAATGAACTTTATAAACAAATTAAAATGAATACATTATTTTTACTTTTATATATTCGAGAAGGAAATTTAATTCCAATAATCGAAACAGATGAAGATTTATCAGCATTACTAAATCTAACAAATATACAACCAAAAAAACGATTATCATTTCAACGACAAGTTTCACGATGGACAAAAGCAAAATATGTTCTTCGTTTACTTCGTAATACAATGCAAGCATGTGTTCGATTTAAAAAATTAATGCTAGCTAAAAAACAGACAAAATTAAATCTTAGAATTGAAAGTAATTTAAATCAATTAATTGATACGTTTGTCTATGGTGATTTCTACAAGACGACAACATTAATAACAAGTGAAGAAAAGAAGTTAGAATTAGACGAACTTTCTCAATGTATGTCTCGATGTTATGAGCGTGCAATGACACGACTAATTACATATCATTTTAGTCATAAATTTATTCAAAATCTATTAGAAATCGATGATCAAAATCAAATTGTAACAATTTTAAATCTTTATTTACCTCATTTAAGATCTTCCCATTCAGAATGGTTCTATTTAGAAAATATTCAAGCAACAAACAATCAACTTAAAGAACAAATTCGTGATGCATACTATTCAATTATTAAAACGATTTTCTCGTTTATTTTACGTTTATTAACATTTGAACCAAAATTATTAATACAAAATATGTTTCATTTACTCAATCTATCCTATAAATCTATTGATATTGTCTGTTTAAATCAAGATCAATTTGTTGAAGTATTATTTTTATCATTTGTTAGTTTTACTAAAGAATCAAATTATATCGTTTCACTTGATACAAAATTAACTGCATATAATTGGTTTCGTTTTTATGTATGTAAATTATGTGAAAATATCGGATTAGATGAAAACATGAGTATATCTAATGAAATAGTAAAACAACAACAATTCGCTTTTAATATTATAATCTTAAATGAATTGAAAAGATTAAAACAATTACAACAATTATTACCAACTGATGTCGAAAATGAAGTTTATAGTTCAATAGAAAATAGAAAATATTCATTAAATCATGCTGCTATTGATTGGTTTATTAAAGCAGCAACAGTTGAAAATGATATATCGATTCATTCAAGTAAATTATCCTCGAAACGCGATGTTGAACTTTGTACAAATCAATTATTAGTATTTTTACTTCGATGTATTTATTTATATGATAATGTTCGATTGATTTGTGCAAATATTGATTATATTGAAGAATTATTATATATTTATCGTAGTAGTAAAAATCAAATTACAGTTTTACTTGCATTGAAAATTTTACGTAATTTAATTCCATTATTCCCGGAAACAACAAATGAAATAGCAATTATTACTATAAAAAATCTTTTAGATGAACTTTTAGTCTCAATTGGTAATAGTTTTATGAAACAGAATATGACTTCGGAAATAATTACTGAATTGATAAATATCTATCGTACAGTAATATTTTTAAAGTCACCATGGCAAATGATGGCAACACAATTGATTTACAATGCGATCATATCATTTGTAAATGAGATCAAGTTGAAATCATTTAACACCATTGATACCATTCAAATGAACTATGTTTTTGCATCATTATGTGTTTTTGGTGGATATATCCAGCCATACTGTTTAGGTTCAATTGTTAATGTCTATCCGAATGAAGAAAGTAACGAATATGATCTAGCAATAATTATTGATATTAATACCGATGATGAAAATTCAAATTCATCTGAAGTCTTGCCCTATTTCATTCAATATTTGAAAACAAATAAAACTGAATGGATTTCAGGTGAAAAATTACGAATTGAAATCGATGTTATGCTACCGAATCTATTCTTATTGATAAATATTAATGATTCCAATCTTACGATACATTCCCTTTTTGATGCACTAGGATATATAATACAAATGGATACATCAACAACAGAATCTTTAATATTATTAGAACTGAAACGTCATTGTATGTCAGCTTTGTGTTATATGTTAAATGATAAAAAACTTGTTGAAATTTTCATGGAAAAACCTTATTCATCATTTATCGCTAAATTATCAATGTCGGATTCTTTATTTAAAAATTATTCATTACCTGTTGATTTACGTTTATTCAATCAACAACATTTAGAACAATATTGTTTGAGTTTAAATACTGACTTACGATTCAAACAAATTATAGAAACAGGAAATGATAATTACACTACTAGTAATAATAATAATAATCAAATTTCTCAACAGACAACAATCATAGAAAAGGAAGATAATACTTCATTTATTATATGGGATCAAGATGAATTCAATCGAGATCCTTTGGTTGTCAACGCTTTATCAATGAGTGCATTGAAATATAATGGATGGAAGCCTTATACATCGAAATCAGAAATTGAATTATTTGAACGCGGTCGAATTGGGGATAAGAACTTGGTTATTTCTTCAATGCCACGCAATTTTATCGATTCTAGTCTAATCAAAGAATGTGGTGATAAACACCGATTTAATGGTGAAATCTGTCTAACTACTGAAAGTGAAACTGGAATATTTCCAACGTTCATTGTTGATAATCTACAATTGACTGAAGGTAAATGGTACTATTGTGTTCGATTGCCAATCGGTGGCATTGTTCAAATTGGTTATGCAACAACAGGATTTACACCTTTGCCTAGAGAAGGTATTGGTGTAGGCGATGATAAATACTCATGGTCATATGATGGATCACGTGGTACGCTGTACAACGATGGTGAATTCATTGCTCCATTTGAAGAAATTTGTTGGATAAAGAATGATATTTGTGGATGTGGAATCGAAATTAAAGGTGAAAATATTCGAATCAAATATTGGTTAAATGGAAAATTCTTAGGAACACCGTTTGAACATCAAGGACATGTTGGAACATCGACAGCAAAATGTAATATGTTACCACATGGTCATAAAACAACTTATTTTCCTGCTGTTACTGTTCATGTACCATATTTAAATGTTGGTTGGTTTGAATTTATATTTAGTCCCGATGATATGGCACGTTGTCCATTGCCAGATGGATATAAACCATTATTATTGCCGACATTAATTAATATTGAAAATTCTATTGTTCCTTATCCAAACAGTGCTTATTTAATTGGGTTTGATACTCAACATTTTTTTCATAGAAAACGAAGTATAACTCCGAAGACACTTCTATGTGATTTTGTCAATGAATATCATCTTGATACTTCATGCACTCTAGACGATTATCAATTACTACTACTAGAAGATAGTGGTGGATTTCCTTTATCAATAAATAGTTATCAATCATCACTAACTATAAGTTTTGATTTTGAAATTTTAAACAAAATTTCAAACCATTCAAATGAATTATTTAATTTTTTATTGTTTACATTAGATGCAACTGAAATCTGTTCCGTACGAATTCCATCGGATCAAATTGATAATCGAGCACGAACTGCTATTGTAATTTGTTCAAAAGAACAAAAAATTAAAATCTATTTAAATAATCTATATCAAGTAATTACTAGTAGTTTTGAAATACAAACCATGACAAAATTTAATTTTCATATTTTACCCAATATTGGTGCTAGAATAAAAAATATAGGCGTTTGGAAGTATGCTTTATGTGAAGAACATATTCGACGTCTATTTACTTATGGTCTATCTTATGTAGCAGTTGATTATAGACAATTGACAGTATATCAACAACAAGCAAATAGTTTTGTCTTTAATAAAAATCAAAAGCATTTTAATAATGAATTACTTGTTCCATTCAATGAATCGTTTGAAGAAAGTCTTTGGAAAAAAAAGAAAGAACAAATTGATATTGATGAAACAAAATATTTTAGAACAATTGATGATACAGATGAATCAACAATACAATTATATGGTAATAAAACCTATCTTGTTCTTTCAAAATCAATTGAACAATGGTTTGAATATTCACTTATACTCGATATTTCTTTACCGAATTTACCGACAACTAATGAACATATAACAATTTTATCCATCAACTCAGAAGCTGCAATTTATATTACACACAAGGGTAAAATTTGTCTATTGAATCATGAAAAAATAAATAAAAGTAAACGCATATTAAAATTAAATGAATATATGCGTTTAGCTATTTTTGTTCAAAAGAAATCTGTTGAAATTTATATCAATGGAATACTACATATTCGTTCGAATGTTGATAAGGATCAATTTGTATTAAAAACCAACCATATTGATCTGTTTCGAGAAGCAGATCTAGAAATGAATACCACTAACGATGATTTAATTCGAATTAAATGCAAATCGATTACATTTCTTAATCGATTAGTAGAACTCGATTTGATTAATCAACAAATGAAATCGCCAAATGATTCGTTAGTATCATTAGTTGCACCACCTTTTTCATTGATTGCATCGAATTTAATTGCTATCGGTTATAAAGAAGAATGGATCAAATGGGCCATACAAAAAACAAATTCAACAAATAGTCAAGTTCTTGATACGGTTATACGCGAAAATACAGATGAGTTTTTAAAAATTGAACATGAAAACCAACAAAAACGTAATTTAATCATTTTGTTCAGAGTAAATCCATCTTTCATACAGGAAAAATGGCATGAATTAGGAAATATTCCAGAATTCAATAACGAAGGTATAATAACTATTGGTCAACTGATATGTGATTATAAAAATTGCTCAAACGATTCAATTCATATGGAAAATAACAATAACAATGAATCGGATAAGAATGGACAAGTACGATTCGAAAAGGAATGGTATCAACAAATGGTTTATGGATTACAGATACCAAATACGATATTCGAATGGATGAATGATAAATCATCAAGAACAGATCTAAGTGATATCTATCAACTATTAGATTTGAGGAAATCTGAACAACAATTCACAACTGAGATATTAGATCAACGAAAAATCATTCATAAGTCCATTCAATACTCTCATAAACAAATTTCACGAAAACAATATTTAGATTCGCGTTTCGCTTGTGAACATGGTTTAATAACAATCTATGCGCGTAACAGTATTCTAAATATGTTAAAAGTTTGGTCAAATGAGGATTCAAGTTCATTTTCGTTAGAAAAATTTGGTGATTATGCATTTATGGTTAAATTATTGCGATTACTAGATTATCATTATACATATAGAAGCTCATACATAGATGATAACATGAATAGAGTAACTTTCTTAATTCATTCAATTCTTCAATTTGAAACAAAAGAATTTATTAAACAAGCAAATAAAAATAAAGAATTTACTATTGAAATGTTAAAAAGTAAAGCTCCATTATTGTATGAGTTACAAAAGGATGTAATTGTTCAGTTGATTCAATTCATATTGAACCCTTCATTATTATTATGCGACTTAGAAAATAAGAATACATTAATTATTAATGAAGAAACACTGATTAAACAATCAAATTTGAATTTCATTTTCAAAATGTTAAATCTCTTCGTTAAATTAGCAACTGATAAATCAATAATGAAACAAAATGAAATTGATTTATTCCTTCCACTTATTTTTCGAGCGTCATTTATTAATCTCATGTTCGATTTATTTCTATTACTTTCAGAACATCAATCAAAAATAATGGTTCTCCGTCTATTTGTTACGTAAGTAATAAGTATTTACAGTCTTTGTTCAATAATCAAATTTATTTTAAACAGATCTGAATCTTAGAACATTGTGTCGATCTAACATTGAGGTCTATAAATCTTTGACTCATTCGGGACACATCATAACAGGAACAGATACATAATTAACAATCTATCTAACTCGATCCCTGTCTGTGTATTAGAAAAAGACTATTCGATTTCGACAGATCATTAAGGTATAAACATACTAGTATTCATGCAATAGATATCGGACTCGTTTCCATTGTATCCTATAATATTGAATCGTTGGAGCTTATGTTGATTCTACGCGGAGGTCTCAGCAGACTAAAGAAAACCTAAAAGAATTTGTGTCCATAGGCTTTTCAAATCGCGTTATACCCCATTTTACTGAATTTTTGGTCCATTGTAAATATGGAATAGAAAATACAGCATAGAATTTCGATCTGAAATGGGAGCGAACTCTTTCAATATTATTCTAGTCTTATCAAGTCATATTTGTGAGCTCAATATTAGCTCAAAAGGCAGTAAAAAGCTGAGAACTTGCTAAGAAAAAACAAAAATTTCTGTAGATTGGAGAGGTTACCTCATCCATATTCTATAAAGATTTTTTGCGGCACTCAATACAAGTTTCGCAATTCTATTATAACTCAAAAGATCCATTTGTCTCTAACTGATCATATATAAATATATATTTCTTTCTTTTATTTGCTAGCTTAATTCAAGCGAGTCAAACTTTCAATTTGAATGTACGATCACAAAATTTCTTTTTTCATTTATTAAATGAATTATTATTAATAACTGTATCGATGAGCAGTCCAGTAACAAGAACACTACAAACTATTGTCATGGATTTAGTATTTCTCCTAATAAAAAGACAAAGTTCTCAAGATACGATGACAACAGAACGACAAAATGAAAAATTTGAGTTCGAATTGGCTGAATGTTCACAAAATTTTCATGATCTAGTCATAGTTATCAATATTATTGAAGCGTTAATCGATAAAAGTAAACATACACAATATCCTAAACAATTCATAGAACAAACATATGATATTTTGAGTGAAAATCCCAAATATACCTCAGATGATTTTCAAAAATCAAATACACTTTTCGATACATTGGCTGATCTACAATTGATTAAATTGATGAATGAACACCCATCAATGAATAATTCATTTAATCAATTCATCTCTAATTTACCGACTGAATCAACACAGAATTCGACATTTTATAAAAATTATCCAGCACTAATAAATATTCCAGCTAAATTTATACAAGTTCGAGCTAAATTTTTCTATCAATTTAACATATTTGTCGAAAAAACTGTATCAATGCTTGATTTTAGTTTATTGCCAAATCAAAGTATTCTAGTAGATTATATTAGAATCGCTAAGATTTATCTATTAGAAAAAAGAAAACTCCAATGGCTTAAACAATCCTTAACACAAACTGAAATTCATGCTATTATTGAACCACCTGAAGTCACATTTGACACTATTGAAGCTAGTATTAATGGTAATGAAGGTGAGAGTACGATGTTCAGTCAAGCATTTCAACAGTTACATGAAAACGCTCATATCCTATTTCGACATAGCAATGAACGTTTATGGCGAGCACAATATCTTGAAATGCATAGTACTGATCAAGGTGGACCTTATCGAGATTCCATAACAGCTATTTGTTCGGATATATGTAGTACACGCTTACCATTATTTATTTTATGTCCAAATGGACAAATGAATAATGGATTAAATCGTGATTGTTGGATACCAAATGTTTTTCCACCACATGAACCTATTTCAAATAAATTTAAAAAACAATATCAATTCATTGGACAATTAATGGGTATGGCTTTTAGAAAAAAACATTATTTGAATTTAAAATTTGCAAACTTATTATGGAAACAATTAGTAGGAGAACCAATAACTATGAAAGATATTGAAGCAATTGATATTCAATGCGGTGTTATTACTAAAGAAATGGAAATAAATATTGAACAGAATAAATCGATTAACATTGATAGTGATATGAATTATCTATTTAGTAGTGTTCTGAGTGAGCTTTGTTTTGATGTTATCAGTTCATCAGGACAAACCTATGAACTTATTCCTGGTGGTCAAGATATTCCGGTTACTACTAAAAATTTAACAGAATACTGTACACATTATCGTGAATATCGTTTAAATGAATTTCATCGACAAATCGAATATATTCGACAAGGTTTATGTAGTGTTATTCCAAGTGACTTTTTAACATTGTTTACAGCTGATGAACTTGAAGTAGCCATATGTGGAAAAGGTCATATTGATGTATTACTACTGAAACGAAATACAATTTACAACGGTCGATATAATGAAAATTCACCACATATTCAACGATTTTGGATAGTTCTGAATGATATGTTTGATGAAGAACAAAAGAAATTATTTTTAATATTCGTTTGGGGAAGAAGTACTTTACCAAGAGATGATAGAGAATTTACATCGAAATTTATAATTCAAACAATTTTTCCAGATGCTAATTATGAAACGGATCAAATGCTTCCAAGTAAGTCGTATTTATGAGTATTGAATGTGGATCTATTTTTTCCTTCAATCTATTCCTACACCCACACACCAGAATAGAATTGTTATTAAAAATAAGCCTAGATTTCGATACTTGAAATCTTTTTCAGATCATCATCAAAGTTAAAATATTATAGACTCTACAGTCAGAACATATTGCTATAATTTATAAACAAATTAAAGTCAGCATACTAAAGTGCATAGTCTATCTGATACAATTAGAAAAACTTATTTGTAAATGTGTTCTTTTTCCATAATGGTATCTGTTGAAAATAATTTTTCATCATATTAATATAAATTTCTTTCTTTCGCTGTCATTTAGGAGCACATACATGTTTTTTCATTCTTGATTTACCTGAATATTCAACGACTGAAATTATGTATGAACGTTTGAATTATGCTATAACGAATTGTTCGAGTATTGATGCGGATGGTATGATAGACGATGTCCTGAATCCAGCAAATCAAATCGATAATACAGATCTTATTGAACAGCTACCAATAGTTCTTACAACACTTCTCGATCAGAATCATCTTTTAATTTAAATCTGTCGTATACAATGCAGTTACACTAAGCTGTAACAAAACATTTTACTCACTGCTCACATTTATCAATACTTATCGCAAAAATTTTATAAAAATAAGCTCTTCTCACTACTTCAACCATGAAATTGCTGTAATTTGTAAGCTTTCAGTACAATTAAGATAAGAACGAGGGCGTGGGTGCGGGGTGTGGATAGATGCTGTGTGGCAAACAAACCATGACACGCTTCGACCTTGACCAAGGGTCTCTTCAGATGGTTTTGACTCTGTAACTATTCTAATGATCGAAAGACCACAAACAAGTTACCAATCTAGCATTTGGCATGGATCTGTGGAAGGAACGTTTGATCTGTTTGCGTAGTGATATTGTTTGAGTATTTCTTGGTTGCGTTTCCGCTCATTGGCGTCTGGTAAAAGGCTGATAAGATCCCTGCCATTTGTGTTATTCTATGTATTGATGTAAGGTGCTGTGAATTTTGTTTTCATCGTTTTCTCGGTCGCCGGTCGATCCTCGTTTTCCGGCATTTGCGATCTGTTGAGATACTGTGTCGCAGGTTTTGAGGATGGTGTTGCAGTCGGTTACAAATCTCTCAAAGTGCGGTTGGGCTGTCTTTGCTGCATTTCATGTGGCTATGAAGAGTGTATGCCGTATTTTTCAAGTCTTTTGGTAGTGTTTGTCAGACGCATATTATAGGTGAAATACGGTTCATTATTTTCAAAGTTGATGTTTACGGTGTCTTGTATTTTTTAGCCTGATGTGCGTACTTTTGATCGTAAGTTCTCGTCGTATTTTCCAAGGTTGATATGTAGTGTAAGATATGTCAGTTTTGTGATAGGGAAAAACTTTCAATGAAAGGATGTGTATGAATGAAGGTGGAAGGTTTAGAATTTGAATCCGGTTTTCGTTGTATAGAAGTATGTTTTATACGTTTCCGTCTGTGGGCATGGTTCACATTGAAAATATGTTGCAAAAACCTTTGAGAAGTTTTTTACTGTGCCTTGGTGTTTCTTTCGAAGCGTGTGGAAAGAAGTGTTTCTAATGACACGTGAAAGCTGTATGGAGTTACTCGGTTAAAATTAATAATTTTGTCAAGTGTGTAAGAAATAACTTGTCACGTTATGGGTGTGGGTGTGAACGTGCCGCAGACTACCACACACACCCCACATTCACACCGTCGATATCTTTCTCGTCCAATATTTTTCTTTCCTTTGCCAATGATGTCGATAATCATATAAAGATATCGAGATAGAAAATTATCCAATATTTTTATCTGATAGTACTTTTTGGAGAATATACTATGCACTGATCTTCAACAAGAAAACTACGAGATCTATAACGAATTCTTTCAAAATCAACGCGATACACTTGAGTGATCTATGTTCCAACGGGTATAGTTTTTGCGATTGATGGTTTTAATGACCTATCTATTTCTATTTATTAATGATAAATTACTTGTCGATGATCGGTTCTGCTTGTAACTACGATATATTTGTCATTTTAACTTTGTTTGTGAATGTTATCGAAAGTATTTTGGCGAGAAATTGAGTTTGAAAGAAACTGAACTTTCAATAAGTGACTAAAGACCACTGATACAGATTTTCTCTTATTATGAGTAGTCTGGAATTGAGAGTGTGATAAAAACAAACCAATTATAGTAGAGAAGAATACAAAAATAGAATAATTCTTTTCAACGAAAACAAGTTCCGAAGGTTATCAAAATCATACTAACAAATGGTATACTATGACTTGATTAAACAGAACTGATATTGATCAATATATTGCAAGCAAACAAAGAAATAAAATCAATCGATTTAACAGGTATCAATGATCAACAAATTTCTCGCGTATCTCAATGGATCTTAGTAATTTCTTTCAATTAATCGTGAGCGTATTAAGAAATATTTTGGCCATTTCACAGACTATAAGTCAAATTCTTCTCATTCTGTGAATGTTTTCAATTTTATCTCTCAAAATTTCAATGGCTTTTTATCTCCTTTTTTTCTTTGTTTATTTAGTCCAACTAACTTATTTAATTCACGAATTATTATCATCTCTCACCGTATATTGCTCTACCGAAATAAAAAATCAATGTGAAAAATTAATTTTATTGAAAAACGAGAAGGATCCATCAGCAATCGTCAACTAACTGCGTCAATTACTTATTCTTGTGAATGTTTGGAACATTGAAAGACATCCATGGAAACATTGTTTATCGAAATACAATGTCGAACATTTGAAAGATATTTATGAGATTATTCAAGCTGATCTGGACAAAATGGCTGATACAGCTGAATCAAATATTGGACAATTGAAAATTCAACTGAAGAGACTGTTTGAAAACTTTAAAGATATTTTATATGTCCAATCAGAGCATATTGTATTACTTGATCGAAGATTAACTCAACTGGAAGAAAAAAAGGAAAATGCTGAAAAGTATAAAATTATCGGTGACTTGTTAACTCCTTTGTCCAAGATACATACTGAATCTAAAATAACAATCTTTTCCACTATTTGATGCTTTTTTAATATTTTAGGAAATTCATAGTTATTTCAATTCATTAACAATCAGTCACATCACTATGATGATCGTTCAATCTACAAAGCCTTTCAAGCAAAGGCAATGAACAATAAATATCAAGAGGATGAATATAAGAATTATTTTGAAATATTTATTGATGAAGCAACATATGAACAATATTATTTATGGTTGGTAAACAAAGCTATCATGTTACAAATTCCGATCTATCAATTATTAGTTTTTTTATGGATGAAAAAAGTTCGAAATTGTACATGTCATAGCGACATACTTAATTTCTTCAATGATAGTAGAACATCTTTCAAATATAGTTTGTTAGATTTATTAAAGAAGTATGAAGTAGAAAATATGTTGGAACCAATCGAATTAGAAGCTTTAAATCAGATTTATCTCACTTACTTTAAACACAAGATTAAAGAAATATAAATGTTTGAAACAACAGCAAACGCTTCTGTCTAAAAAGTGACTTTTGTTATTTACTTTTTTCTTCATCTTTCATCAACTTTAGTTGTCAATCTAACTTTATTAAATATGATATCGCTATTAACAACAATCAATATTTAGTATTAGGAGGGAGTCATAGAAAGTTAGAGAACGGAAGTCGGCATTGACCTTGAACAATGACATAGTTGAAAACGAATTCAATTAATAACATACGAAGATCTTTAAAGAACCTTCGATTGCTTTAGTTATAGTAAAACAAATTCATTCAACAGGATCTAACTGATCATTTATGGTGATGCTGTACTGAACAAAGTTATCTCATTGGTGTTTTGATCAAGAATAAAATGCGCGAAGACATCGTTAATCTTCTGAATTGAACTACCAGTTGAAGTTTGGTCCATTTTTACGACAGACTATTCTTGGTAACAGACAAAATGACAAAGAGTGAGTGAAATATTTCATTAATCAATTGAATAAAAATATCATTAATTCTAATATCCAAATTAATTGTCGAATTCGTCTGAAATCTGATGTGGATTGATCGTATGTATCGATTGAAAACTCGATTTCATTGATTTTCATTTCTATTTCTATCTGATTATTCTTTAATTGTTCCTTACAGTGATTAACTTCACAATTATTTAATTCTTGTAGGTGTGACTTGTGTTCCGAAATGGAAATAAACAAGTCAATTGAATGATTTTCTTTATGAAATCAATGAAAGATTTTCTCTTTTAGTTCGTGATCATTTAATTAACATTGATGAAGAACTTTGGTCAAATATTCAGTAGGAAAAGAACAAAATCAATGTTTTGACAAAGAAAAGATCAAATTGTTTGAAAAAAATCAGCAAATGTTCTTCATGAACGATTTCATTAGTTTTAACAGCTTCAATATGATATTGTTAACGGTGACTCACATTCTGCCTACCCTCGATTCTCTATCACTTTCTCTCTCCCTTCTTCGTTCTACTGTATTGTTATTGTTATTGTTGTTTCTCCTTCTTTCTCTCTTGTTCTTCTCCTTCTCTCTATGGATATATATATACCTAGTGATTTTAAGGACATTTTGAAGAGATTTAACATATGAAATAAATAAACAAAGTTCAGCTCGTCGAAGCGAGCTAACATTTTGGTGCCGTGACCGGTCTTCTTCTAATTACTCCATCGAAGAAGAACCAATTCGTCACATTTAATTTTGTACATCAGTACATTCAACAACAAGACAAACACTATTTGAAATTATGTACGGACGACAAGTTACTCTTCCATTTAATCGACAAAATGAAATTACTTCGCTCGCACAAGATTCAGAGCACAGTAAAACAATTGGAATATATTTTGGAAACTTGGTAAATGAAGCTCGAAACAATATCACGAAAAATCAACAACAATATAAGAATCACTACGACTTGTACAGACAGGATCCAGTATTAAAAGTCAATTTTTTAACGTTGGTGAAAACAAGAAACATTCGAAACACATTTGATATAAGATATGAAGGTCTATTTAAAATCATTAAACGATCAGGAAGCAAAACATTCACTGTCCAACATGTTAAAAAATTAATATTAACAACACAAGTGACAATGGATGTTATCGTTCAATTGATGGAACGATGGAATTCAATTCAATAAACATATCCCGTAAGGGAAAGATGTGTATTAGATAGTATAATTAGTAAAGTAAAAAATTATCATTTATGATTAAGTGAAAATGATTCAGTTTGATTCAGCAGTCCATGCCGGGGAGACAGAATTTCACCTTCTCACTGACAAGGAGGGGCTGTCGAACTCGAACATTTAATTTTTAATTTTTCTTTTTTCATATCACTTAATACGAAATGACTCATCATCCAATCACAGTGCACTATAATCGAGGCACTTGTACAACACCGGCCAGACTGTACAGTGCAACGAATGACGCACGTGTTCCAGATCGATAACTTTACTAACATCAAAACAAGAACGTGATACATAACATCTAGCACATCAATATTTGCCAACATCATTTAAGTCCACTA